GCGGGCCTTGAACCCACAGGCTCAGGCAATCCACTCATCTCAGCCTCCCAAAGGCGCAGGATTACAGGCTGAGCCACTGAGCCCGGCAAGTCCAACCTTTCAGAGCTATGGACCTGGTGGGGTGTTCAACGACCTTGTCCTGGCAAGGGGTGGGAGGGGCAGGTTTCTGATGGCCATAGGCCCTGCCCCTGGCTGGACGGCACAGTGCAGAGCCCATGGACATCTGGCAGGCAGGCAGCAGGGAGCTGGGCTGCGGTCACGGGCAGCCAGGGACAGATGTAGCAGCTACACATGAGCCGGGCACCTGGTACTCCACTGGTGGAGAGCCCGTCTACACCACGCTCAACAGCCCTAGTCCTCCCGGGGTCCCCACAGCCCCGAGCCACTCGTGCCCTGGGCAGTCATTCAGGGCACATGTGGTTGAAGGCTCTCACCGTCCGGCTCAAGGTCAAAGTGACTGTTCACTTGATAGAGGTTGGCAAGCACCCCCTCAGGCTGGGCTGGGGGTGAGCACCTACACTGGCCCTCAGGGGTCCACAGTTAGGGAGGGTAGCATAGGATGCAAGTAAAAGAAAGTTCCAGATGGTGCCATACAGCCAGAACTGGGAAGTGGTGGAGGCAGGTCCGCTCCAGGGAAGACCTCAGGTAGAGGGAAGGGGGGTTCTGGGCAGAGGGGATGGTGCATGCAGGGGCCCCTTCGCCTGCTTGAGGGATGCAGAGTTGGGCATGTGCCCAGGGTGGGAGCATGGGGATGGAGTTGTGGCAGAGCAGGGTCTGGTGACAGCAAGGAAAGTGCTGGGAGAGCGTCACAGTGCTCAGGAAGCGCAGGGGCCTGATGTCACTGTGTGAGCCGTGAGGCCGTGTTCCTCATGATTTCTGTCTACTGTGGAACAGGTGACTGTTGCAGTTTCTTCATTTGCCTGAAGGTGTGGGGGGGGCACGTGGGAGGCCACTCACAAAACCCGCAGGCCTGAAGCAATAGAATGTGGGCGTGGGGCCGTCGCAGTCACACACCCAGCAAGGCATTCTCTCACACCCAGGGGCCTCTTCTGGACACCTCCAAGGCCACTGTTGCTCTGCTTCCTATCCCTGGCCATCCAGGGACCACGGGTTTCCCCAGTCAAGGTGTGACGGGCCGTGACAAGTCCTAGTCAAGTCCCTCATGCAATTAGTTGTCTTGCCAGGGGCTAGGGAAGCTTGTTGAGAGCTCTGTTCCTTTTTAAAAGCTATAAATTAAATTTCTATTGACTTCAGTGTAAGATGTTTTTTAAAAAATCAATGCTTTCATAGCTTAAATCTTCTCCTCACCTCCCCGCTCCTCTGTGAGCTGGAGAAGCACAGCCCTTCCTCCTCATCATCATGAAAAATTCCTGTGGGGGCTGGGCCTGCCTCTCTGGGAGGCACATCCTGCTGTTCACACCTAAGGGTTAAAACAGCATTAGCCGATTAGGAGTGGTGGCTCAGCCTGTAGTCCCAGCACTTTGGGAGGCCGAGGTGAGAGGATTGCCTGAGCTCGGGGGTTCAAGACCAGCTTGGGCAACTCGTTTCTACAATGAATCACAAAAATTAGCTGGGCGTGGTGATGTGCATCTGTAATTCCAGCTACTTGGAAGGCTGAGGGAGAAGGATCACCTAAGCCCAGCAAGTTGATGCTGCAGTGGCCGTGAATGTGACACTGCACTCCAGCCTGGGCGACAGAGTGAGACGCCAACTCAAAAAACAACAGCAACAACAACAAACAGCATCAGCCTTGACCCGGGTTCCTTGATTGAGAACATGTCTCTCCTCATTTCCCCAATATTAAGTCTCATTTCTCGGCTGGCTGGTCAGCTTTCTCTGGCCCGCCAGGTCATCTGTCTTCCCTAAAGGCGCCGCACTCTCTTCTTCCACCAGGAGGGGGCCTGGCTGCTCAACCCACGTGTGCGGTTGTCTGCAGAGATCAGTCACACATAGGACTCACTCTGCCGAGTGCCAGGGCAGACCCACTCACGACAGTGCAGGGGTTAACGGGGGCACCAGCCTGCACTGTGTTCACATCCTGTACAAGCTCATGGTGGCATCCCCCTTGCCCTTGGCAGACAGCCCTGCCAGGAGGGACCACTGGTGAAGCCATGTTGTATCTTGACTCACATCTCCTGGGCTTGGTTTCTTCACTTTTGTTTTTATTTATTTTATTTATGTACTTTGAAGAGTCAAGATCTCACTCTGCTGCCCAGGCAGTGGCATAGTCACAGTTGACTACAGATCACAGCTCCAAATCCTGTGCTCAAAAGATCCTCCTACCTCAGCCTGCTGAATAGCTGGGACTTAGGTGCACACTACTACACGTAGTTAATTTTTTTAATGCTTTTTTAAGAGACAAGGTCTCAATATGTTGCCCAGGCTGATCTTGAACTCTGACCTCAGGAGATCCTCCCGCCTTGGCTTCCCAAAGTGCTGAGATTATAGTTGTGAAACACCATGCCTGGCCTGGGTTCTTTGTGTTTGGTCTGACCATCCCAGTGTCACATCTGTGAGACATGACTCACCAGAGCCACATCTCAGCCTGAGGGAGAGCAGAGAAGGGGGTTTCTGGAAGCACTGGGCCCATCCCTGGCCCACACTTTATGAGAGGATCACTCTGTGGTTTCTCCAGAGGGGGAAAGAGTTAGCTGTGCTTGATTCAGCCTCCACTGAGGGCAACCCCACGACCATGGATCCTGGCCCCATTTGTGCCAGGCTACAGGGAAGGGTGTGCACCAGTCCAGGGGGAGGTCGACCAAAGGTGGTCACAGTTGCCCGTGGTCAGGCATCCTATGGGGAGGGGGCACGCAGGAGGGTTTTGGGGGCAGATGGGACTCTTGAGAGTGCCCAGCTGGCCTTCGATGTGGCAGCGTTGTCCACGTCGCCAGCGTTAGCGCAGCCCAGCCACGTGGGGGCGGGAAGGCTGCGAGGTCACCGGCCCAAGAGCAGCAGGAGCTGGCAGCTGAGTGAGCCGACTGAGGGAGGGTGGGCTGGAGGTGCTGAAGGGACAGCGCCAGGCGCGGAGGCCTCTGACAAGGCCAGCTCCCCGAGCCAGGCGGCCCTGAATCAGTCTTTCCAATCTTCCTCCCTGGATCCTGCCAATGCAGTCTTGGAACAAACTCGGTCTGAAAGCTATTCCCATTTATTTAAGTAATTGGAATTCCTGTTGCTCGCATGAAATTTACCCTAACGGGGCACTTTCACGACCTGCTCTGCCTGGGGGCAGGGACCATGTAGTAACCTGACCGTTGACGGCATGCAGTATGGGTGTGGGAGGCTCAGAATTAAAAACATAAATGATTAATGAGCCAGCTCTTGGAAAAGACATCCTAAACAAAGGAAGCAAAGATTTCCAAATCTTGACGTGGGATTCTCTTTCCAGACTTTCTGAGTGTGTTCACAAGCGCTGTGTGTCCATGACGGGCCAGGGGCTGCAGGTGAAAGGGGTTACTGCATCCTTTACCACTCCCCTCCAGCCTGGTTGCAGGGTCCCCACGGGGTCCTTCTTCAGCCACTTGCGGAAGACCATGATGCAGTCAGTGGCTCCCCGAGTCCTCAGGGGGATGCTCCATTTTCCCTGAGCTGGTTTATCCTTCCCGGTGTCCTGGAGGACCAGCAAGCCTGAGGCCCTGCTCCCACTTGGGGCTTGTGCTGCTGCTGAGAGGAGTTGGAGTTGCTCCCCTCCATCTTCTGTGAACCTCTGCCCCCCTGGGGTCCCACTCAGCTCTGACATTAGACCCAAGAAGCTTGCCCTCCCCACTGGAGGGACTGTACCCAGCTCAGGAACTGCCATGAGGCACCCAGGGTCTGGGGCATCCCCTTCTCAGGGTGAGGTAAGCTTGCTCTGCTAGAGTTTGCAAGTTTGAGCCCCATGGCCGCTAGCTCTGGAAACCAAGGGCTGGCTCCGGCCAGGGTCAGTGTGCTGGATGGGAGAGTTGCCCATAAGGACAGGGCCAGCCGCTAGACAGGTGCCTTCCTCTTGGTAGGCCCCGTCGTACCAGTGACCTGGGAAGAGGCTGGATGTGGTATGGAGATGCACCTGCAGCTGATACCTTCTTGGAGGTACAGAGGAGGCTCCAGGGTAATGGGCTGACAGTATGGGCACTCAGGGCCCAGTGGGGCTCAAGAAGGGGGTCACTTTGGCCTCCCAGCTGCAGGTCCAGAGGGATTCCCCACAGGACACTTCTGGCTCTGGTGGAGGGCCACCTCTGCCCACTCCCTCCAGAGGACACCATCTTGTCTGCATCCAGGGCCTGCGCCTGACCTGCAACGCTGGGTGTCTATGCTGCCCTGGGGCCTGCCCCCTAGCCCTCTGCCCCTGCCACAGGCCCCTTCTGAGGTCTGCATGACAAAGTCTTATCCCTTGGGGGGCTTCAAGGCCCTCCAGGAGCAACTCTCTCAGTCTCCACCTCTCTGACAGGCTCTGTCCCCTGACCTCCTCCTTCCCTGGGCTCCTCCAGCCTGAGCTGACCCTCCTTGCACACTTCAGTGGGAGCTGAAGGGATCCTAACGCCTGGCCCACCCTGATGCCAAGAGCAGGATGTCCCTGTGGGCCAAAGCTTGAGGAGCGTGGCAAGGCATGAGGCATCCACGTCCGGGCATCCACGCCCAGGGCCCAGCTGGGAGAACTCCAACCCTGCTCCAGGCCGCTGGCACCGCTCTGGGGTCTCGCGGACGCTGGGGTCGTCAGGCAGGTCCACTCGTTGGGGCCTGCCCACCTCGGAGGTAACCTCGGGGGCGACCCTGTCGTTGGGCACACGGTGGGGGAGACGGAAGTGCCGCCCAGTCCAAAGGACCCTCCCTTCCCCCTTCTCAGTCGCCGCCAGCCGGCGCCGCGGGGGTTAACGCGGG